CTGGACTTCTGTAGATCATTATAGGTTACAATTCTTGGAGGTAAGAGTGTGGTTAGCTTCAGAGAAGTTCAATGAAGCTAACTGAAAGGAGCTTTTAGTGTTTTGGAGTGAGAAAGCAAGAAATTAGAAATTCAAATTCAGAGTTCATGTGGGATCTAAACATGGGTCAATTGGCTATCAAAAGCTTGCTTTAATGAGTGATATATAACCCTTTATTTATAGGGAAGAAAATGGGATGCTCAAGCGTGTGGAATGATGCAGTTTGGAGGGAATTTGTGTGGAGTTGCAAGCATGAAAAGTGTGACTCATATCAAAACTCAAACAAAACTTGTGTTTCAAGGTGCTAATCACTTCTGGAAGATCGTTAAACATGATTAGAAGTAGAAACGCCCAGAAATTTAGTGATTAGAAGAAGAATTGTGCATTTCAAATTCTGACTTGGAGGAAAAAAGTCAGTTTCAAGGTACCAACTTTGAATCAATCGTATTCACAACTCAAGGATTCTTATGGCATGATTATTAAAGAAGTTGAAATATAAGGTAACAAATTTTACAATGTGAAAAGAATGGGATCAAATGGATACTTGAGTTAGGAGTTGTGACGAGTCAAAGTTGAGAAAAAGATGTTGACTTTTTGTACTTAGAAAAATTCAAAGTTTTTCTCAAAAAATGTCCTATAATGTTTTGACTCCAAGGCCTTCATCCAAAATTGAGCTTTGATCATTGATTCTATCTTGAATTGTACTTCCCAAAGATCATTGTGAAACACGAATCACTCAAAATACCAAGTATTTAAAAAGTTATGGTCTTGCAAAATTGGTGAAAATTCATGAGATGACCTATAATCTCTTGCATTCTTAGGGTATCTTCCATCCATTTTCAAGCTTTGCACATAAAAGAAGAGTTGAATTTCACATACTTAAGATAATTGTGGAAAAATAATGGGCTCAAGGAGATAAAATTTGACCAAGTTATGATCTTTGGAAGTCACATAAGGGAGTTTGATGACCTATCTAAAGGACTTGTAATATCTCTTCATCATTAGGCATCTTCCACACAAAATTTTCTTGAAACTTTTGAAGTTATTGGTTGATAAATCTTTAAAGATAAGCGTGTCTTTGGAATCACTTAAAAATACCAAAATATGAGCAAGATATAGCCCTTAGAAGTTTAAAACCCTAGCTCCTAGAGCACCAAAATGTCTTGGAAACCCCACTCAATTTTGACAAGCTTTCTTTCACAAAAACTGTTTCCATGTGAATAGAAGTTGTTGTGGATTATAATAAGAAACCATAGAATCAAAAACAACTTCTAAATGTTAAGAATTGATAGATTTGTGCACTTGTGGCCAAGGAATCAAGAACTTGTCCAATTAGGTCAAACTTCTTCAATCAACCCTTGCATCTTTTGATTTTATTTGACAAATTGAGGCATGATGAATCATAGTAGACCTTGTCATGACATTAATTCAAATTATATTTAATGATTAAGCTTTAATCTCAATGAAACTTTGGTGAAGAAGGCATGAAAATAAACTCATGAACTTATAAATCAAACTGATGAAATGTGTTGTGCCCTTACCTATAATATCATCAATTAGAGCAAACATTCATTGTATTTATTAGTTAAAAATAATCAATACAAAACATGGATGATCAAAATATATAAATCAAGGTGCTTGGTGATTCCTCATGAGCAAACTTAAAGATATGGAGAAGAACCAAACCCTAGTGTGATCTTGTTGTGATTGAGTTGATATGAGATGATATAGGAATATTAGGGGGGGAAATTGGTGTACAACAAAGTGTACTCATCATCGGACATGGCTTCAACAGAGTAGTCTCCAATCACATTAACTCCATTATAATCATATTTGTTGCCTGTGACCCTGATAGTACAATTATCTAACAGCAATTGAACACCTTTTCTTACAACAGAACAACCACGGTAATCCCTACAGTAGATTTGATAAGACCCATAATGATGTACCTCTTGGCCATCCAAGTGACAAAATGTGGCGTGCAGCTTCACCAGATTATCATTCATGTAATTCACATGAAAAATCTGGAATTCACCGGGACATCCATAAACCATATTTACATCTTCTTAGTAATCAACCCTTGGTCTAATTATGTGGATAAGACCTTCATCCATCATTTCTTGAAGACCAAATCTCACTTTATCGCATGCATGGATACCTGAATTGCAAATACTACAACCAGCATGGTCAAGTGTATAATAGCTGAATTCACAGAGATCAGCATGCATCTTCACTAAATCACCTCTGACCAGGTTGATATCAAAAACCCGGAAATCTCCAGGACAACCAGCAACCATATTTACAACACTTCTGCCTCCATGTTTGGGTAGTGGGGTATCATTTACATTGGGACCAACATCTTTAAAAGACAGGAGACCAGATCTTACCAGCTTCTGCACTCCAGACTTCAATGGATAACAGTTTTCAATGTTATGCCCAGGGGATCCTTGATGAAAAGCACAAGTATGATCCTCCTTGTAATACCATGGTAAAGGTGAAGGTATAGTATGGGGAGGTCTAGTCTGCACCAATTTCTTTTGAATCAAAGCCGGAAACAATTCTGCATAACTCATTGGAATAGGATTAAAAGATTCTCTCTTATGACCTTGCCCTTGATTACCTTGAGGATATGCTCTCTGATAAGCAACAGTAGTCAGAGCTACACTGATGACTGGAGTCATTGAAGCAACTTGTTGTTGGTGTTGATGATGTCTTCTCTGAGGTCTAACCTTTCTTTCCTTAATGAAAGAATTTTTTTCACTTTCTTTCTTTCTAGAAAACCCATATGATGATCTCTTTGTTCCACTATAACCCTCATCTTTTATCAATCGGCCTTCCTGGACAGCTTCTTCTAAACGGACACCCATACTTACCATTTTAGTGAAATCACTCGGTGCACTGGAAACCATATGTTCATAATAAAATGAACCAAGGGTTTTTAGGAAGACATTAGTCATTTCTTGTTCTCCCATTAGGGGTACCACTTGGGCAGCAAACTCGCGCCAATGCTGAGCATACTCTTTAAATGACTCTTTATCTTTTTAAGCCATTGCTTTTAGCTAGTCACAGTCAGATGCCGTAAACATGTTGTACTTATACTGCTTGACAAAAGAGTCACCCAAGTCATTGAATATGTGGATGTTGCTACTGTCCAATCCCATATACCATTTCAAAGCAGCACCGGTTAAACTATCCTGGAAGAAATGGATAAGCAACTGTTAGTCATCAGTATGAGTGGACATCCTTCTGATATACATCACCAGGTGATCACGGGAACAAAAGTTGCCCTTGTACTTCTCAAATTCTGGCACCTTAAACTTTGCTGGCACTTTCACATTAGGGACCAAACAGAGGTCACTGACATTATGTCCGAATAACTCTTTCCCTCTGAGAGCCTTCACTTCTTTATGCATTTTATTGAATTGATCCTGAAAGTCATCCAGTCGGTCATAGAAGCTCAAACTTTCACTTGGTGGAGGAGTAGGATGATAAACTTCATCATTGATAACAGGCATAACATTCACTGTAGGAGGCACAACATGATGAATCTCATTATTGGCAACAGGAGTAGCATGTTGTCATACCTCAAATTTGCTCGCCCTTTATTTCTAGGGTCAAAAATATTTTTAACATTGGTTTTACAATATTCTTTGATCTTTATAAATATTCTCTTCCAAACCTATTTAACAATATAATGATTTATTTCAAATCATTTATATTTTTGAATAAATAAATATTTTCTTGACCTTCGTATGCTTTCAAAAGCATTTTTATTTTTAATAAACAAGGTAGCACAATTGATAAATAATGAAGCTTGCAAGTATATTTCTTTTTTCTATTTTTTATTACTAATTTTATTTCCTTTTTTAGAGATCAGGTTTTGAGATTTACACTCATTTCGGATAACTTACTTGGTAAATATTTTTAACCTAATTTCACTCTATAAATAGGACTCATTGTTGTCCTAATTTTTCATCGACAATTCATTCGGAAATTTACAATCAGCTACAATTTCACAAATTCCACGATTCACTCTACAATTTGCAATTTCATAGTTTCTAAACGGAAATCCTGAAATTCTGTCGTTGTGTATATCAAACAATAACTAATGAACGGCCGATGATTTCATATGAGACCCCTCCCTTTTATTGTCAAATTTATTTTATTATTTAAACCACGTGATGATTAAATGATTATTGTTTTTACAATTATTTTTGAAATAATAATTTTTTTCATGTACTAAACAATACACACTTTTTACACATACAATTACATCCCTAGTTTATCTCACAAATTACACAACAATTTTCACACTCCATCTCAGTTTCACATTTTTTCTAAATACCTTTTATAGTAACAACACCAAAATCTCATACAAACTCATTATATCTAAATTCATTATCCAAAACCATTTTTTAAACACCACCTTGTACCCTTTGATACCTACATCATAAAAGTACCACCATTTCAACAAACCTTCAGAAACATACACATATAATCTTCACAACATCATCATCATTGTTTAAAAACCTATTGTTATTACATAAACCAAGATTTTCCAGAATTATGAAACACCATAATTAAGTTAACAACATCACTTTCTCTATCAAGCTAACATCACCCTTAATCTAAATTAATAACAACAGGATTGACTCGTTTGACTCGTTTGTTTTTGTTGTTAACATAAGTTCTTGCTTGAGGGAAGAATAGAAGAAATTGGAAAAAAGCACAGAAACAAAAAGAGGATTTGGATCCATCCTCATAGACAACGCCGACCGCGATATCGCTTCCAACAGCGTCCTCACCGGAATCTCCAACTGCCTCCGTTTTAGACCCTCGCATCACTGATGTTGACCATGCAGATGCAACATCACCATTAGCCGACGACCATCTCCTCTGATTCACTGTCAGATCCGCAACCGCTCCGCACAGCTTTTCCGTCCAGATCCATCACAAGCCCAATGTTGCAGAACTGCAAACCATGCTTTCGATCACTCCTCCGACGAAGACCGCAGCCACCATCGATGGAAGCCGAAGCAAACAGAGGTAGTCACCCATCCCAATTGCACTACCGCTGGCCTTCTCTCGCGTTACAACTGTCGGCAATGTTGTCCAGCCCATTCGTGCACGCCATCTCCCACGTGGCCGCCGTCAGAGCTGTAAATCCGGCGAATTCAGGTTTGATTTTTTCGTTTCGGAAAGAGAGCAGGGAGACAGTGGTGTATCTGATGAACTCCAGGATAACATATGTGTTTGTTCCTTTTTTATTTTGAATTTGCTTGATTCCATGTTTTGAGATAGATATTGAGGGTGGGGGTTGTACTGCTTGTTGTTATTTCTACACTTTTTAGTTATAACAAGATTAGGAGTGCATGGGTATTGGGCTTTAGGCCCAATTATGTTTCTACTCTTTTACTAATCAAACATCTCACTTATACTAATGTACCCCCGGCGTTTTTAATTAAAGTTTATTTTTTATTTTTTATTTCATTTACTTTATCATAATTAATATTTTTAATATTTTTAATATTTTACAATTACTTTTTTTAATTCAAATTCCTTTTTAAATATTAACTCTTTTTTAATATGTTAATTGCGTTAAAAATATTTTTTCTCAGACATTAAAAACTATTTTTCTCATATTGAAATATATTCGAAAATATATAACCGATCAAATTATTAACAATTTTTTATTAATTAATTTAAAATTTTCACAAGTAATAGGATGTCCATCTTCGAGTAATTAAATCGGTCGACACATCGTCTACTGGTTTATTATTCAAAATCAAACAATTAAAATTCGTGCAACTCATCAAATTCACCATCCGCGAGCGTCACGTGGCCAATATATGGTCACTTGATGAAGAGACTATATCAGACTCTCTCCGCTCTATATCCTACCATACTCGATCAATCAACTTCAAAATATCTAACCAACGATCAACCATTTTTCTACTAACAAAATAAAACCCAAGACATTTTCGAAAAAGGATTAAATAGAATTACTTTCAAAATTAATTGTGAATTGCGTCTATGATCACTCAACTTACAACCCAAACAAGGCTCAAGGATAATTCGAAATCAATTCTCGCAATCTTATAAAAAACACCAACAAACATTGTGTAACGCCCATAATTTAATTAACTATTTAATTAAATTATTTTTGGAATATTTGTGAAGTTGTGTTATAATTAATTGGATTTAATTATTTTATTAAGTGGTGAAATAATATTAGAAGTATAATATTATTTGATGTGAGCTTGTTTTTAAAGGAATAGAAGTAATAAGAAGGTGTATTAGTTTTAAGCCCAATAAAGAATAAAGAATAATAGGGTTACTTTATTGTTGTTGGAATAGAATAGAAAGAAAGAAGCAGTAGAAGAATAAGGATTGAGAGGCGAACGTGCAAGCTGCTGGAAAAAGAGGAATAACGGCAGAACAAGAATTCAACCGGAAGATTATAGAGCGACCTTCAATCCAAGGTAAGGGTGGGGTTCTTATTCTATAATTGGGTTCATGATGATTGATATGTGGGGTTAGAGGTGATTGTTGTCTTGTTCTTGAATTGAAAACATATGATTGTTATATGATGAGAATTGATGAATTTTAGATGAATAATGATGTCATGATGTTGTTTGAGCGATGTAGTATTATAGGATGATTATAGGTGATGAATTGTCATGATTATATTAAGTTTTAGGGCTTTAAGCATGAATTCCATAGTGAGATGCAGGGAAGAAAAACACAGAATATTGCAGGAAAGAAAAACGCAGATTTTTGCGTGAAGGATATCAGGTGTTGCTGTATTAGAACAATGAATTAAATTAGGGATAGAGTTAGTCGTACTGTTTTTAGTTAAGTTGAATATCAGGCTAAAAATCAAAATAGTAGGATTAGTAAAAAGTAGAAGTTCTGATGGTAGAAGTTGTGTTGGTTAGAAGTTGCATTGGATTAGTAAAAAGTAGAAGTTCTGATGCTAGAAGCTGTGTTGGTTAGAAGTTGCGTTGGATTGGTAAAAGGTAGAAGTTCTGATGGCAGAAGCCGTGTTGGTTAGAAGTTGTGTTGTCAGAAGTTGTGTTGGTTAGAAGTTGTGTTGGTTAGAAGTTGTGTTGTCAGAAGTTGTGTTGTCAGAAATTGTATTGTCAGAAGTTGTGTTGGTCAGAAGTTGTGTTGTTAGAAGTTGTGTTGGTCAGAAGTTCTGTTGTCAGAAGTTGTGTTGTCAGAAGTTGTGTTGTCAGAAGTTGTGTTATTAGAAGTTGTGTTGGTCAGAAGTTGTGTTGGTTAGAAGTTGTGTTGTCAGAAGTTGTGTTGATCAGAAGTTGTGTTGGACGTTATGTTGGTTTTGTACAGAATGAAGAAGGTTAGATGCTTAGAAGCTGTTGTTTGAACTATAATAGTAGGAATAATGACGGTAATGACGTAAGAGTTGCAAAATAGCAGTATTGATTTACTGTGGAATTAATGTACAACTGAGTTGTTAGTGAGAAGTTATTAATGATGTTGTGTTGATGAATTATAATAAATAAATGATGTTTGATGAATTATTATGATGATATGAGATGTTGATGACGAGACGTTGAGATGCTTTTGAGATGTTGTTAATTTGAGATGGTTTGAGATGTTGTTAATTTGAGATGCTTTTGAGATGTTGTTAATTTGAGATGTTGTTAACTTGGGTGTTGTTATTACATTTATGGTTGTGTTGCATACATTGCATTCTTGAGATGGAGCTTATGCTCGTTGAGATGGCCTATATTGGAGAATTTTGAGATGAAGGCTTATGCCTTGTTGATGCCTCTATTAATTGGCAATTTTTTGAGATGGGAGTTCTGCTCCAATGGTACCACATGCATTTGCATAGTATTGAGTCGCATTATATGATTGCATAAAGAAGTGTATTTTGATGTTGATGAATGTGTATATACGTTGTAATTATTGTTGATTATGAGATGAGAAGTGGTGATGTTATTAATCTAATTTAATATATTAATTATCATGCGCTTTATTATATTGTTAGATATCTCACTCCTTCTGTTTGAATGTTTCCCTTATGTTGGTAACGTGCAGGTAATCGAGAGTGAAGGCCGTATACCTTCGGTAATTCGAGTCGGTATCATTTCTCTGATATGTAACACTCGGGGGGATGAACGCTTGCTGTTTTTTATTGGTGATTTTTCATTTGTTGAATGTTAAATTGATTATTATTAAATATGTGCTGTTTCGAAGTTGTTGTTTTGTTGTTAGAGATGTTATTAAGAATTCCGTTGCGTAGATATTGAGTTATTTAATTAAAGATGTTATGATGATAGTTCATCCGATGTGTTGAAAGTGTTATATATCCACGATGAATGCAATGAATGCAATGAATTTTTAATAGAAGAATTTGTGACGTCCCGATTCGTTTGCATGAATGATTTTTATAACTCTGATTTATTTTATATAATTGCTTGGGGTAGAATTGGGGTGTTACAAAGTTGGTATCAGAGCAAAAGGTTGGTCTGACCTTATCGTCGAGTCGTAGTTGTCTAACAATCAAGTATTGTTATTTGGAGTTCTAACTGTTGTTTGTGTTGTAGTGAGAAGTTGAGATGGCTGGAAGGAATGATGCTGCACTTGATGCTGCTTTAGAAGCAATGGCTCATGCGATAGAAAATCAGCCGAATACTGACGGGAATGATGGATCTCGTAGCTTGGCGACTTTCCAAAGAGAGAATCCACCTACGTTCAAGGGAAAGTATGATCCTGACGGAGAATTAGAGTGGTGGAAAGAGATAGAGAGAATCTTTCGTGTGACGGACTACACTCCAGCGCATAAGGTTCGTTATGGTACTCATATGCTAGCAGTCGAGGCTGATGACTGGTGGCTAGAGACTTGTCAGAAGTTAGAAGTTGCGGGTGAGAATGTCACTTGGGTTGTGTTTCGTAGAGAATTTTGAGAAAGTACTTTCCTGAAGATGTCAGTGGTAAGAAGGAAGTTGAGTTCCTTGAGCTGAAGCAAGGAAGTATGTCAGTTATTGAGTATCCTGCCAAGTTTGTTGAGTTAGCTATGTTTTATCCGCATTATGCTGAGGCAGATGCTGAGTTTTCGAAGTGTATTTAATTTGAGAACGGGTTGCGCCCGGAGATTAAGAAGGCAGTTGGATACCAGAAAATCCATGTCTTTGCTGATTTGGTTGATAAATGCAGGATTTATGAAGAGGATAATAATGCTCATTACAAGATTATCAGTGAGAAGAGGGGTAAGCACCAACAGAATCGTGGTAAGCCTTATGATGCCCCAACTAGTAAAGGTAAACAGAAAGTTGCTCAGAGACAGAGGACTAGTGGGGGAGATGCTCCTGCTGGTGTGGTTTGCTTTAAGTGTGGAAAATCTGGGCACAAGAGTAATGTGTGCACTACTGAAGTGAAGAGGTGTTTTCGTTGTGGTAAGAACGGACATGTTGTATCTGAGTGTGAACACAAGGATGTGATTTGTTTCAATTGTAGAGAAGAAGGGCACATTGGTAGTCAGTGTCCGAAATCGAAGAGGGCTCAGTCAAGTGGAAAGTTGTTTGCTTTAGTGGAGGATCAGACAGCTGTGGGGGACAGACTTATCATAGGTACATGTTTCATTAATAGTACTTCTTTAATTACTATTATTGATACTGGTGTTATGCATTGTTTTATTGCTGTTGATTATGTAGAAAGATTGGGTCTTATGTTGTCTTCTTTGAATGGAGAAATGGTCGCCGATACTCCAGCCAAGGGATCAGTGACTACTTCTTTTATATGTTTGAAGTGTCCCTTATCGATCTTCGACAGGGACTTTGTTGTTGATTTGGTTTGTTTACCGTTATGAGGTTTGGATGTAATTTTGGGTATGAACTGCTTAGAGCATAATTGTGTTCATATTAACTGTTATGACAAGTATGTGAAGTTTTCTACTCCTGAATAAGAGGAAGATGGTATGTTGTCTGCTAAACAGTTGAGGAAGTTGATGCAAGAGGAAGCACAAATGTTCTCGTTGATGGCATCGCTATCTGTAGAGACTCAAGCTATAATTGAGGAATTGCAGGTGGTGTGTGAATTTCCTGAAGTTTTCCCTGATGAAATTCCTGATGTACCGCCGGAGAGGGAAGTTGAATTTGCAATTGATCTTGTACATGGTACCAGACCTGTATCGATGGCACCATATAGGATGTCTGCATCTGAGTTGTCAGAGTTGAAGAAGCAATTAGAAGAGTTACTTGAGAAGAAGTTTGTAAGACCAAGTGTATCGCCGTGGGGTGCTCCA